TATATATATATATACATATATGCGTGTGTGTGTATTATATATAGATATAGAATATTACATATAATATATAATATTCTCTTTTTTACTCTTTTCCCTGTCACGTGTTGTTTTTCCACTTCTCTCTCTTACTATTTTTTGAATTTGATTTTCATGCGTTATTTCTGACATTTCTCATATGTGTATTATATGGTTTATAAGACGTATATACTATCTGTCATCGCGGTGACAGGTTGTGTTCACTGACAACACGTTAAATAAAAATAACAATAGCGTGCGCGTAGCGCGCGCCTGTCTTGTGCTAATAAAACAAAAAATTGATGTAAAGATTGTTAACTATTATTATTGTCGTTATAGAATTTGCATTTAATGCTGAGATTCGCGTAGTATTCTCAGTCAACTTCAAGGAATATCTCCATTCACGGCTCTGTATACCTATCTCAGTTATTCTTTCACGAAGTTTTTTATAATTAATTCTTCTCCCCTCTCCTTCTAACGATGCGTCTACTTTCTAAGCTCAGACACAAGCGAGCGCGACGCGTTTGAATTATAAAATCTAAACGCCGATTTCTTTTCCCAGACGCGAATCTTTTTACGCTCGTTTCTCCATTCTGCGCGAGCGATCTCTTTCATGCACGCACGTGATGCATATCGCGCGGTTATTTTCGTCAGTCTCGCGTTGTGTGTGTGTGTGTGTTCTGCGTACAATAATTCAGTTGTAGTGTAATATAAGTCGATATTAATGATGATTTGCAGGATTTGCTTTCGCTACTCTCTTTTAGCCATGAAAATCAACAACCCAGTCTTCTCGTAATTAAATTGCAAAATTATAATCTATTGCGTGATTCGCGGATCGCGTATTAAAATTATATATCATAGAAGTTAAAACCAACTATTTTATCGTTCTCCTTAATCAACTAAATTCTTATTAACAAATTCTTATTAGCTAAATGTAATAATTGGTATAATTTCTCCAATTCTCACTTAAACACGTGCTGAAACCTGTTGCACCAAATGTGATTACAGAAAATACTTTTGCACGTTTTGCACCTTTCTGTGTTAACTTACAACACATGTTACACTCCAATTTCCGTATAAAGTAATGCAAATGACACGAATAATCACAAAAAACAATTACAAAAAAAATGCGTAAACAATTCTCGGACAATTTAGACAATTTTCAAAGATACTTTTCAGGTAATTTTCAAAGAAAAAATTATTGCGACCTCGCGCCAGCCACGCGTCGCTTCTGGTAGATGCACCTGATCGAGCGTCTTGTCGGGAACCTTGACTTCTTCGGCGCCGTTGTTTACCTACGGGCCTCGTAAATCATCAGGCCGTTTTCTCGATCCGCGCGCATAGTTCAGAACCGTGTAATTACGTTTTTTAGAGATTTCTCTCTCTTTCTCTCTCTCTCTCTCTCTCTTACGTTTTCACTCTTTCGCGCCGACGACTACAAGACGGCGCGGCTCGCGATAACCCTTTTTCACACCGTGACGATTCACGGCCCGTGCATCAGCAACAGGTCTTCTTCGCGCGTTTTACACGCGCCGGCATAAATTCCCGCGTGAACGAGGAGAGCTTCTCGTCGTCGAAAGGCTCGTGCGTTTCTTCTTTTGACGAGGGCGGTATAGAAGAGCGACTCTCGTTGTCTAGGATCTTCAACACACACCGACGTTTTTTCAGACGTTCGTCGCACCTTTCTCCCGTTGTGTTGTGTTCGTCGCTTCTTTTGCCTCATTGTTTACATTTTCTATATGTAACGTACATGCGCGGAACATTCTTTTTGCGAGCGCCTTATTTGCCGGATAAAACGCTCGGCGAAAGATGCGTGCGAACATTACCATTCTTTTTTGAAGAACGCTTTGTAGCGTTGAATGCCGAGCGAATTTTGAATGTTCGCGCCGTATATATACGCGTCGAGGTGAAACTTTTATTCCTAGAAACCTAGTAGCCCTTCTTCACGCCACGATGATTTAATTCGCACTGACGTAAAACATTTTCAAACAGTATATTATAAAAAAAGAAAATTGACAAATCGTGTACAAAGTGATGTGATGTAAGTAAAAAGTTACAAACTATAAAAGAGGAAGAGATTTTTCTACTTGAGATAGTTTTATTGTGTGGCGTCACATTTAGCGTCACGGTGGATGATGATCAGCATAGTTAAGTCCGCACAAAAGAAAACTCATCTTCTCTTGATGAGAAGACTCATCTTCTCATCTTCGTGCGTGAGGCTGATCCAAGTCATAAAGTCATAAACGAGCCGGATCGGTGATTTGCGCAATCGCTTTTGCGGCCGGATAATCGCACGCGTCTCAGAAATTCCTGGCGGCCGCGTAAAGTGGAGCAGCCGTGGAAAAACCATCGATTTTCTCGCCGCGAGAAATTGTTCCGAGCTTGTTCACTCGCTCGCTCGTTCGCTCGCCGCCGCCAAAGATCTCTTGTGTACTTTCACCGATCGTTAGAGATCGCGTATCGAGGCGACCGAGGGAAGAGAAGCTCTCGATGTCGCTTTTTTCGAAATTTCGTATCAACTTTTTCTGCATTAACGCGCAGAAAGAAATCGACATTGAGATTTTACACGAAACTTCGTACATCTAAATACGCATCGAGACGCTGAAAACTACTTTTGCTTGCCGCATAACGCGGTATATTCGATCGAGTAAATCGATCTTTTTTAAAACCAGTTACATATCTTTAAACACATACTTTTTTTGGCAATGGGACATTACAAACAAGTTTTTGGTTTCAGAAATAAAGTGTCTCTAAAGAAAATAAACGAAAGAGAAAGTGAAACGTGTAAAAAGTATTTACAGGAAAAATAAATATTTATAATAAATATTTTCTGCAATTTCTAATTCTGGATCACAAATGATACAATAGATATTTAAAATAGACAATACGCCATTTAAAAATAATATAATACCTTTAATTAATTTTATTTAAATATCTCTCGGCGTGTGTAATACACGATTATATCTGTGGTTGAAAGGAAAAACGCCGCATGTCACATATTATTATTTTTGAGATATTGATGGTTACAGTTTTCAATACAAATTCTTTTATTTGACGAAGTCGGTTTGTTTTTGTTTTATGATATTTATGGAGACTACTTTTAATTCAACTAATATTGAATGTGTATATAGTTTGCTCTAACGATTATACTCGGACTGTAAGTATTTATAAACACTTCCGGGAAAACCCCACAAGTCCATTGGACATGAGTTGTTTTTCTTACCAGTATCAAATTTAAGTAGTTTTTCCAAAACAAGAGTTGCGCAATAACGCTAGACTGAATTTGAAATAACAACAATGTATCGCTAGTGGCGCGCGATAACGGCGCATAAACGAATTAAGCTTTATGTATATTATATAAACAA